GTATCCACTTAAGCAACGTATTTTCTCAAGTCAGGGGCTTCCAAGAAAGCAGTTTTCACTGATGTCGGGAGGGATCTAGGGTGGCTTGTAGCTGAGACCTGTTGGACTTAGCTGCAGCAGGTTATAAGGCACTTCTGTCCCTTTTTATGGCTTTTTTGGCTAAGAAATGGGCAGCTGCTCTGCCCCAGTAGGTGCAACTTGCAGCGCAAGTGTTCAACTGGCTGCCAGCAGCCTGTCCCAGGGAAGGATGGGGAGATGCATCTCGAGAGAGGGAGACCTAAAAGGTGTCTGGGTTGACCTGTTTTACCAGTTTGCGTATTGGGGTGGAAAAAAATCATAGAATCATAGAATGGTTTAGGTTGGAAAGGACTTTGAAGATCATCGAGTTCCAACCCCCCCTGCCCTGGGCAGGGACACCTCCCACCAGCCCAGGTTGCCCAAGGCCACGTCCAGCCTGGCCTTGAACACCTCCAGGGATGGGGCCTCACCAACCTCTCTGGGCAACCTGTGCCAGTGTGATAGATGCAATAGACCAGGCGGTGCTGAGGGGAGCGTGGGGAGGAGGGATGGGACGTGGTCTGGGGAGACTCTTCCAGGCGGCCGCTTGCATCATTCCTACTCAGCACTGGCACCTGAGTTTTGCTCAGCCGACCTTCCTGTGGAACGCGTGTGTTCCCTTGGAAAATATCCCTCTACACCCTTTGTCCTCCATTAAAATTACATAGAGCGTTGCTGCCTGTAGCTGTGATGTGGCCCGGGTTCCCTTTGAGAATTTGTTCTAGAAAGTCAGTTGGGGGCACCTGGGACATCTCAGTCCCAAAATGGTTTTTTTGGCGCTAGTTTTTGTGAGGATAGAGCTCTCCTGGGAGGAATCATTTCTCATCTGCTTGTTCTTCACTTCCGTGCATCTTCTTTCTCTCTCCATCCCTTAACTCCCTCTCCCACTGAACTGGGGTTCAGGGGGACTCTGTACCTGGTAACCGTGGGCTCACGTGGATCTAATAATTTAGTTGTAACTTTTTGTGTGCTGAGGGCAGAAGTCTGAATTAAAATCCCGTTTCATTGGACACAAACGAGCAGAAAAAAAAATTGTTGTGGCGTTGCCAGCATTTGATACTGTCATTGAATTATAAAGGGAGGAGAGTCTTGGCTTTGATTTCCCTATCTCTGAGGCTTGTCAGACATGGAAGATAACCTCTGGGCATGCTTTAAGAAAGCTCTTTGAGACTACAATGGTTTGTCTCAGACTTTCGGAGACAGGGTAGGTTGTTACATGAGTCTCTTGTCCCGAAGACGTGTAATAAGACAAATAAGGAGGTCTGGGCTCCTCTGAATGTCAGCTCACTTCAGAAGCAGATATTTTGTGCTGGACCAGTGCCCTGTGCCCTCTATCAGCACTGGCACATGTCCCCCTTGGCGGAGACATTCTCCCCTTGGCTGGCAGAAGGTACCAGGGCTGGAGTCTGTTCTCTCGCAGGGCACCAAAATACCTAAGGCAGCTCCGTCCATACCTCTGGGAAACTGTGTTGGAGGTTGCTCTAAGCAGGGGAGCTCACCCAGTGATGGAATGGGGTGCCAAGTCTTCATTCACCAGTCTGGGCTTGGGTTTTGGGGTCGTGCATAGGAGTAGGAGTCGGGGCTCACACTGAGCACTCTGCCTATCGCCTCGTCGGATGGCTCCAGGCGGGTCCCTGCTCCCAGTTACACCACCATACCTTTCACCACCGAAACCCTCCCCATGAGCAGCGATTGCTCCTACCGCACGGCTTCCCCCGCCCAGCGAGGAGGGGGGACACCCCCGCGCCACCGCAGGCGTGTCTGAAGCGAGGATGGCACCAGCAGCACTGCATCCCCCAAAAACATACCCAGCCCTTGGCGCTGCGCAGTATCACAGCGCACTGAGCCAAAGTGGGCTCTGGCCCCGTCCGTGCGTGGAGCTGACTGCCTCGGTGAGTCCGCAGCCCGCTGCCGGCTGCGCTTGAATTTCTTCAGCGGCACGTCGGGCTGTTGTTAAACAAAGAGAAGGTTTCTGTACAGCGATAGGGATCAAAATAACAGCCTAAGCAGCTTTCGGATGGGGATGAAATTCCCTCCCCAGCGAGGGGCCCAGGCCAAGCCAAGTTTCCCAGGCTGCTGCCAGGCTCTGCCCGGACAAACGAACGCCCCGCGGCTCCCTCGGGTGTGCGCGAACCCCCCGAGAACGGCAACACCGGAGCTTGTCTGATACAGCCCAGGAAGCTTCTGAACAGCTTGTGAAAGCTGAGGAGCTGAGAAATCGTTAGGTTGCTGAAGGAGAAGCAATTCATCCTTCGAACGTGTTGCTAAGGTTATCGGCGCGGCTTGGAGAGTGCTTCTCCCCGTCTGCGCTTGCGTGCCGCACTGCCAGCGGTGTCAGGGGAGCCACAGCTTTTCAGAACAATCCTGGGTACTTCATTGCTTTCAAGAATGATGAATTTGCCATCTGAGGTGGTCCTGGCTGGTGATGGGGAAGGAGATGCTACCAGGTCTGAAGATCTTTGAAGATACTGATCCTGAGGGACTATTCCATGTTTGGACGGAATAGTTTGGGGACGTTGTAGCCCTGCTCATGTTAATCCAGCCTCTTCCCCTATGGGTAAGGTCAGGATGGAGCTGTGTGGCTCTGTGACTGGAAGGAAAGGGGGAGACCTTCAGAGCTCCTGGGATACCCACAGGGAAAGGAGGTAAGAGACAAAACCCAAGTGTCTCCAGTGAAACGGATATTGTACACCTTTACGTATTAGCAGCCAGACCCAAACCGCCCCAGAGTCCTCCAGCCACACCGCAGCGCTCACCAGCCTTATCTTCTAGCGCGCGTCAGGCTGCGTACAGAACGCATCATCACGGGGCAACTCCAGAGGCTGCAGAGCGCCCGTGCAAAGTACTCGCATGCCTCCCGTCGTCATTGCCACCAAAAGTGCCTTCCTCACATCCCAGGCGCCGGCAGGGCCGCCTGCACGGCTGGGAGAGGCGCAGTCGCTCTCTGGATGGAGCCGCGTCCTCGCATGGTGGATGTAAATCCTCCGTCATCTCAACTTCATTCAGTGGTGCCGGGTCCCATTTGTTGCTATTGCTGCTGTTGTAGAACCAGAGTGTAGGTGAAGGTAACTGATGTAGGGAAGGGTGGTGGAGGTGGCTTTATATCTCTTTATCTCTTTATATCATATATATATCTCTATATCTTTATATCATATATATATATGGTTTATACCTCCTAAGTGTGCTGCTTTGGCAGGGGTGATGGGTACCAGCCATGTGCGTGGAGGCTGCAGGCAGTTGGAGGCTGTCAGGGACAGGGTACCAGGCTCTGAAACGGGATGAGAGCATTCAAACTGACTTGTTTTGGAAGAACTCTTGTTGAAGGATAGCAGTACAAATGCTGGCAAATCAGTCGTTCAACCATTAAAGCCACCGTTACAGCTCAGACCTGCTCCCGAAAAGGAGTTGGCATCTGTATGGAGAAGATGCATTTTAGCTCAGTGCACAAAAGGTGAATGTTTGTACTGTGGCTGGTTCTAAGGGCTGGCGGGGGGGCGGGAAGGGGGGGAGGAATCCTGACCTGCGCTCACGGCCACCACGTCTCTCTCTCCAGCGCCTGGTGCGGATGAACATGCCGATCTCGCCTGAAGATTTAACCGTCCACTTCACGTCCACGTTGATGGCCTTGATCCGCACTGCCCTAGAAATCAAACTTGCCTCAGGTGAGAGGGAGGCGATGTTTGACAGCGCGCGTGGGCTCAGACCCCAACTTCTCTGTTGGCTTGGTGTCCTCCCCAAACCACCCAAATCCTGCCCCAGGTGGAAGCCCTATTTCCCTATTGTCTGCCCGCCCTCTGCCAGCACCAGGGACCCTCAGGGACAGGTGACAGAGAGGGGTCCTGAGCATCCCACTGCCTTTGGGGCGGCGGCATCCTGGCATCCCTGTCGATGAATCCCAGCATCCCAGACTGGTGAGGGCTGGAAGGGCCCTCTGGAGCTCCCCCATCCCACCCCCCGCCAGAGCAGGGGCACCTCCAGCAGCGGCACAGGACGGCGTCCAGGCGGGGTTGGGATGGCTCCAGAGGGGGAGACTCCCCCACCTCTCTGGGCAGCCTGTGCCACTGCTCTGCCGCCCTCACAGCAGAGAAGGCCCTCCTCAGGTGGAGATGGAACTGCCGATGGTCACGTTTGTGCCCGTTCCCTCTTGTCCTGTCACTGGGCACCACTGGAACAGACTGTTCCCATCCCCCCGGCACCCTCCCTTTGGGTATTTATCAGCGTTGATAAGATCCCCCTCAGTCTCCTCTTCTCCAGACTGAACAGCCCCACGTCCCTCAGCCTTTCAAAGGCTCCATGAGATGTGGAGATCTTTGGCCATCCCAGCTAAGAGCTCTCCAAGGAGAAGCTCTGTGCTTGTGCTTGTTGCTGTATAACAGAAACAAGAGTTTCCATACCTCTTTTCTCAACTATTCCAGCCCTTTCTCTCCAACTGCTCTCTGCTGGCAGCAAAGCAGTGACTCCGAGTGCCGTGAACTGCATTCCACCTTAAGATAAAATTTAATTATTTAAGTGTTTAATCAGGCATTTACTTGACTTCCCAATTAAACATTGCAATGTAATAAAATACATTGGGCTTTTCTCTGGGTCGTTACGCTATTTAATCAGGCTGGCTGGGGTCAGAATCAAGGCATGACTGGCCAAAGCACTTTTATACCTAATTTAAAAGCTAATAGGAGGTAACAGTGCTCTTACGAGCAAAGGGCAGGGCAGGGTTAGGATGTTGTGCCATTCCTAAGCGGTTTTAGACCAGCAGTTCAACCTATCTGTATTAATTACCTCTCTCATATGTTGCTTAAATTTTGTCCTTGATGCTTTGGGTAGGTACTGCTGGAAGAAGAGAAAATTTTGTCGCCTTGACTGGGAGTCCCCCAGGGACTGACACCGAGTATCCCCCATTTCTAAGGACGCATTCTAAGGACGCATAAGGACTGCCTGGGATTTTTGGGGGCCAGCCCTTTATTTTAGTAATAACCTCTAGATAAGGACGCTGAGAGTTTGTATTATTTTAGGCTTCCAGTTACCTGTCAGCAATGGTAATTCAAACAGGCTTTTTCAACTCAAAAAGGCTCCCCCTGCCCTTTCCTTTGGCCGCACACTGGAAGGGAACCAGAGAAGAGAGCTCAGCTGATAGCGCTGGGTTCTTTCTAAGGTTTCTATCTGCTGCGGGTTGTGAGGTTTTGACCTGTTTTGTTGTTATGTGCTTTGTTTGAATAGGTTTTGTGTGCTACATTTAATTGAGTCTTTAGTGGGACTAACAGGCCCTTAATAAACCCTCCCTAATGAGTTTCCGTGTGGGAGTTCAAACCACCATGTAGCAGAGCGCCCAGAGCCTCCTCCCATTACTTTTCTCTTGGAAAAATAATCTCTGTCATTCAGATGAACTGTTTAATTGCCTACTGTGCGGTGCATTCATTTGGGAGCTGGCCTGTTGGCTTACACGGACTTTAATCACTTCCCACTCGCGTATTAAGACCTCACTTTGGCCATTTGAATAACGCCGCTGTGTTCAGCTCTGTCTGCTTTACCTTGTGATATAGCTGCTGTCGGCTGCTGCTGATCCAGAACAGCCTGCTTATGTCTCATGGCCAAAGGCTTCGGGAAGAGTTGCTGGTGGACAGCATCCCAGACTGGTGAGGGCTGGAAGGGCCCTCTGGAGCTCCCCCATCCCACCCCCCGCCAGAGCAGGGGCACCTCCAGCAGTGGCACAGGACGGCGTCCAGGCGGGTTTGGGATGGCTCCAGAGGGGGAG